GGGGGCTTTCTAAGTGAGTCATAAAAGCTTCCTCTAACATGGGTGAAGGATATTAAGATGATGGCCTGTCAGAAGTAAGACATTACAATTCTCTAACAGCTGTCAGGCTAAATAAATGCTGTTGATAGACTGAATACAGCATGAACCCATCAGGCGTTGGCAGTCAGGTTTTATGAAAAAGTGATTTACTGGAAAAACTAAGAAAACGATAACACAATTTTCACTGAAGACCTAAATAGATAAGGCTGGAAATAAGCCCGTGGGGAATGGCAACGGAATAATACGAACATTAGTATCTTAAAACGCATTACCTGATCAAGGATTCTTCCCATTCTATCAAACAACACTTTCAAGAAATGGCCTTCAAAGAAAGCTGCTTCGAGATTGCACTTTTCCAATGCTTTTGGAGACCCTGGCCACTCCCACCGTAAGCAGATGGCGCAGTAGTCCCGGAACTGCGGAGAGAAACACCGACTCATTAAGGCACTCACCGACCACGACCTGGGATGAAGTAGAAGTGACTTCTTCCAGCATGGTGACTCTCAGTACAACATAAGGGGCTCTGCCCCGTCCCACGGCATCCTCACAGTGGCAGGCAGCCAGTCGATCCATTTCCCTGAGCGTCTTCCTCTTTTCTCCTGACTCCCTCTACTTAGCAGGCATGACGCCTGGTGGATTTCTGGCAGTTTTCTGCCAATGTGTTGCTGCAGCCATTTTTAAGTTAGCTTCAGCAAAATTCTACTTGCATTGATAAGAATGCTACTGTTCGATCATTTCCACATTCTTCAGGATCGCCGCTTTGGGGAACAGGCAGAAACACAGACTCTTCCAGTTGATTTGGCTAAGTCTTTGAGATTCCTTGGCCTAGAGGAGTGTGTGCTTTTACCACGGCATCTGTCTGTTGAAACATCTCACTCGGTCTCCCATGAATTCCAGCACAGGAGGTAAAACACTGGTTGCTCACTACAAGGTCGGTGGGTCTGTCACCATTGGCTCTGTGGGAGAAAGATGAAGCTGTCTGCTCTTGTGAAGATGTACAGCCTCGGGAACCTTGAAGAGTAGCTCTACTCTGTCTCACTAGGTCACTATGAGTCAGAATCAACTCAATGGCAGGGTTAAATGCTTTCAGAATAGTCTAGATCTCATCCGTCAATGTCACCTGTTCTTGATCAGGTGCTACTCTTGAAAGGGTTGAACGCGACCATCACTTTTTGGCACGCTGACTCTGTGTGTTCCTTCCATCCTCTTGTGATGCTTC